TTTTTTTTTTTTTTTTACCAGCTACAAAAAAACATATAGCAAAGGTGCCCTCTTCCTTAGGGTTCATTTTTAAGAGAGTAACCCCCTTTACATTCCCAAGACTGTTAGACAGCCTTACTCATTCAAATAAGATGCTGCTCAGGCACCAGAACCAAAACGAAGCCTGTGCTCACTGACGCTTCACTGCCATCTGCCTGTGGTGCTAAGCGGGCTCTAAGCCCTTAATGAAGTCAGCGTCAGTGCTAAGCTGGAGCGCCTCTGGGTCTTAGAAAAAGCAAAAGGAACCAAAGGCCAGAGGCTGACTGCAGAACCCTGAAGATTCATGGTTGGTATCTGAATACTTGAGAATGGCAGAGAACTAATGCTAAAGAACAGCAAGCCACCAGCTTCCTGCCTTGCACCTTCTGCAGGCTGATCACCATCACCGTTCTGTGACACACATGACCCTTCCATTACCTCAGGGGTCAAAGTGCTGTCACCGCACCACCTCCAGTTGTTTAAAACAGAAGCATGCTCAGTGCCCAGCACTGTGGAAAAGCTGCTGCCAAGCAGAGCCAGGCTGCATGACCAGACACCTATTTTAGTGCTTCCCGTTGTGGTCTCTTCTGAGTTCCTCCTCTACAGTCATGACACTGCTGGTTCTTTGAATTCTAGCTTCCTTCAAGTGACTTCTGGGTCTGTGGGAGGAAGTCCAGTCTCACCAAAATGTTGTTTCCCTTCAACCTCAGATTTCAGCTCTGGATGCCCAGGGAGTGACGGTGGAGGGTCCTGTCCCCATCATCATAGAAGTGAAAGATATCAACGACAATCGCCCCATGTTTTCCCAGGCAAAGTACGAAGGCTCAGTGAGGCAGAACTCTCGTCCAGGTGAGAGCGGGGCCTGGAGATGTGTGTGGAGAACACTGGGGCATCACAGGTGGTGGGGCTGGCTTTGTGTGGCCAGCAGCTTAGCTTATCACTTATTAAACCCCTACCAGCTTAAATTTTACAGTGATTTGCTTGGGGTTGCTTTATTATCTCCATGGTTGTAGGCCAGGGTTTCTCATGTTTGGTGCTGTTGATATGTTGGACCTGATAATCGTGCTTTGGTCAGGGCCTGTCCTGTGCATTGTAAGATATTTAGCAGCATCGCTATAAAAATTCTCTAGACACTGTCAAGTGTGCATATGTGGGAACCCTTGTTGTGTGGTTAACCTCAAAATACTTCAAGCTCTAGAACTTGCTAGAACCAACTGGAAAGGCGAGGCCACTCTCCCTATACAGGCAGAAACCTGCATTAGCACAGTCACTGCTCAGTCCTGTTGGTTTTCTTTTCTTGTATTCATCTCTCAGCTGTGGCTCATCCTTTCTGGGCGCTGAACTGACTTTCTAACCGTGGTTTCCACCAAAGCCCTTCATCAAGGCCCAAGTGCATATGGCAGGCATCTCTGAGGAGCATCACATCGCAACTACACAGAAGAAGAATAAAAATTAGACTTTCAAGTTCTTAGAAACACTCTTACCTATTGTCACCAACTCACCTTCAAATATTCCTGTGTGATACGCAATCTCTTCCTTTTTTCATTCTTCAGTGTCTGCAAATAATAATTCTGGAAACAATATTCCTTTCACTTTATTATGTGGACTAATTTTGCTGTCCCTGTCATTGTCCCTGTCATTGTTTGATTGCAAACCAAAGACTTTCACTCACAGACTCTGCTATGTAAAAATCCTCAAGGCCATACTTTTCCCCTCTTTACCAATAAAATGTTCTAGAGAAGCGGATCTCAAATATATTGGCCGTAGGACCCTGAAATTTTTTTCGAGTGTTGAAATGAAATTTTAGTTTCATGGGTTATGGCCAGTTATTTTCTGGTTAAAATAGTTAGGGTAGATATACAGCTACTTTCTCTTAATTCATTGAGAAAAAAGGTTTGTACTAACAGTGTTTGGGCAGGATATCATGTCTGCATCTTGTATTATGAATAACCACTACGAAGACAACAATGTACAATGTATTAATTATCGAATCTGTCCGACTAATTGGTTTTGAAACTGTCTCATTGCTGTTTGTTTCTCAATAAAAATAATTTAAAAAGTACAAAGTTGTGTTAGGTTTGTAAATCAAATTCTCAAACAGTATGGAAATAAACATCATGCCAATTCAAAAAAAATTAACAGTTTTTTTGGGGTTGGGGCGTACCCCTGATTTATGATGTTTGTGAATTTTCATCATATACAAACTCCCCCCATGCTTATTTCAACCTGCCAATGATACTAATAATCTACTCACAAAAATTTTTAAAATTGAAAGTTCGCTTCACTAGCTGATCCCCGTTCATCACTTGTTAGATGCATTACTATTAGAGATTTTTAAAAAACTTATTAAATCATATAAAAACACAAAGAAATATTACAATAAAAGCTATATTTTTCAAGACAAAATTAGTTTTGTAAAACCAATGCTGAGAAGAACATCATTGTTTGAATCTTTGCAAATTTAATGTCTAGATGAAGGGAAAACAATTGTGTTATTTCTGTGTCTACATTTATTCCTCTGCTATGTCATTTTTTGGTTGAAGTGATACCTGAATAAAAATTATTCTCACATAGGTATGTAGTTGGGAGAGATAGGAACATTTTATAAGTATTTTCAAATTGAGGTTCTTTTTTAAAAAGGATACCAAAACTTTAACACAAAACTACATTAAATTATCTTGTGCTTTGATGGAATCTTCTACATATCACTGTTTTTTTTTTTTAAATTTTGGGGCTGGTGAGATGGCTCAGTGGTCTAAAGCACCTACTTAGAACAAGCTAAACAAAGCACAGGGACCGCGGTTCAATCCCCCAGCACCACATGCCAGCCAGCCCGCCCCCTGGTGGGCTGAGCTGGCCACACACACACACACACACACACACACACATAAATAAATAAAATTAAAAAAAAATAAATTTTATAGACACCTTGAAATAGACTTAGAGACCCCTAGAGGTCTTTTGACCATACTTTGAGAAGCTGCCTTCTAGGGGTAGGAAGAAGAAGAAAGATTCATTTTTTACTGATGTGAATCCATGGCATCTTCCCCCATTGGATCTCTGCTTCTTAAAGGCAAAAGTGGTTCTTGTTGGTCTGGCTTTCAACTATCTTTTTTGCTTTGTTTTGTTTTCTGTGTCTGTTTTGCTGAACAGGAAAGCCTTTCATGTCTGTCAATGCTACAGACCTGGATGATCCAGCCACTCCTAACGGCCAGCTTTTTTATCAAATCGTCATCCAGCTCCCCAAGGTCGACGATGTTATGTACTTTCAGATCAACAACAAAACAGGAGAAATATCACTTACCCTACAAGGTAAGCTAAGAGATTCAAATGCAATCAGCTGGAGAAAGGGAACAGGCCTGAAGCACGCAGAGACATTTTCTTTCCTCCTGTTTCCTGTAGGGGCAAGGGAACTGGATCCTGTGAAGAATCCTTCATATAGTCTGGTGGTCTCAGTAAAGGACATGGGAGGCCAGAGTGAGAACTCCTTCAGTGACACTACATCTGTGGATATTACAGTGAAGGAGAATATTTGGAAAGCCCCAGACCCTGTGGAGATTATGGAAAACTCAACTGATCCTCACCCCGTGAAAATCACTCAGGTAGTGCCCAGCTGGCACATGGAACTTACTAGAGCGCCTCACTTGGTAGACTCCTAACCTCATGTTCTTCACAAATGCTTTTGTATTGTGTCACATAATTATAAAGCAAATGAAACAGTCTCTGGCCCTGAGACTCTGGAGTTCATCCTTCTGGGAAGAAAATTTGATTCAGATCCATATTTGAACTTTCAGAGAGAATTTCTCCCACACTCACCTAGAAAGTAGATGCCAAGGATGTTGGTAGTCCACTGTCGGTGGTGGAGGACATGGCTGTTTTAGTGAGACATCTATGGTACTCACATCTTATACAGGGTTTGAATTTAGCATTGCAAATGTTTTTAAAGAGCTGCTACTTAATCTTGTGGGGGTAGGTGGACCCAACCCACTCTTGCTATCAGAAGCTGTGAGACAGAGACAGAGAGAGGCCAAAGGAAGGAGAGTCATAGTGGGCAATCTTTCCCCTTGAGGAGTACACTATCCCATCTCCTGTACCTGCCTCTTTTTCATCCAAATGACCTTCCTTCCCCTCTGTGGACGGTACGCTTACCAGGAACCTCCCTACCTTAGCTTCTAGAAACCCAGCCCAGATCCTGCCAGCATCTGGTCTTTCTGGAAACTCAGGAGGATTCTTGTAATATGAACAGTGTAGGCCAGTATGAGAACCTGGATTTGGAAGCCCTGAACTGAAATCAAGTTCCCGTTACTTTAATAACTGAGAATAAATAATCTCACTGTTCTGACCCAAAATGTCTCATCAGGAAAATGGAGATTATGAGAGTTCTCAGAGTTATTGTGAAGAGCCATTGACATAGTATTTGGTAAAAGTAAATGAAAGTTATTAATTTTAGAAAGGACTCAGTTCATAGTTTCCTAAGATTTTTTTTAAAAATGATGCTATTGTTGCTAAAGAGCCTGGTGTGACCCATCCTATTACATCTATTGTCTGACCTAGAGAGACTTTCATTTAATGAATGTTGAGTTAGTGGATATTACATTTAGCCAAGAAAAAGAAAAAAAGAATAAAAGAGGAATTTTTGCTTTGGCAACTAAGAAAGCATGCCAGTACACAGTACCATGAGGATTTCAAAGTTAGATCCTGGATGAAACCCTTTTGTTCATTATTTAGAGTACCCTCAAAGAGATCTATAAATATTAGAAAGGACTCAACACATAGTTCTTGGAGTTGTCAAAGAAAAGGAATCCTGGGACCCACAGGGTCCTGAGGCTTGGAGCAAGGGCTTTCGGGGTTCATGGAGAATAGTGGTACAGCACAGCTCAGAGAGCAAGAGTGTAGGCTGGATTTTAGGACATGGCATGAGCTCACTTTAGAATTGGGAACAGAGTCTTAAGAGTGGACTTTGGGTGGTGCTTACATCACTGGCAAGGAACACAGTTTCCTCCTAGCCCAAGAGAATGGTTTCATGTGGAAATTTCAATAACACTAGGATCTTGGGCAAGTATTTAAGTTTTTGTGCCCTGGGTTCCTTATCTATAAAATCAAGATGCCAACAGCTTTCTATTTCATAGGACTGTTTTGAGATTAAATGAGATCCTAAAATTATTTAGCATTGTGTATGACAGAGTAATTCCTTCATGAGTATCATTTTTTTATGGCAGAACTGGGGACTGAACTCAGATGAGTATCATTATTAATAATGTTAAATATAGGCTTTTAATAGTTTAGAATATCAGGGAAGCCAGGGTCTGTCCAAAAAGTTGACTGGTCTTAATAAGTTTTTCCTTAAAAAAATTAGATTGATTTAAAGACAACTCTAGGAGTTTGCAGTTACTCTTCTCCCTGAAGACTGTAAGAATAAATATTTAGGGAGGACTGTGCCTTATTTACATAGCAGTTATCTTTAATCGCCTGGAGAAAAGTTTAAAATGTCTCTCACTGCTCTTACTCAGCTTGGGAAGCTTCTCGTTTGTCATGGCTGAGTCCTCAGATAATGCTAGCTAGCAAGTACACTTTGGTTCTTAACTTGATGTTTCATGAAGAAGCCTTTACAGTCATGCTTGTGAAAGAAAACAGCCCACAAAGCCTTTAGGGGTTGGTTCATAAAGAATTGCTTTAGAGAAGAAAAATTCTCTCTTTTGGTTTGCTTTTTTGCTTTTTTTAAACAACACACTGGTTTGCTTTTTTTAAACAACACACTTTTAAAAAAAATGTATTTAGTACAGGGTTGACAGGGTCTCACTATGTAGATGAGATTCAGTGATTCTCCTGTTTTCAGCCTCCCAAGTGCTGGGATTACAGTCACATGCCACCATGCTTGGTCTCAATCATTGTCTCAGCATGCCCCGGGGCAGTGCCAGCACAGCAGGCCAGGGATTGAATCCCTGGCCTGCTGTGCTCTGCCAAAGTGGGCTTTTTAATCCACTGAGCTATCTGGCCAGCCCTACAACACATTTTTAAAAAATGTCTTATTTTGAGTTGCTAATGAAAAATGTAACCCAGTTGTCAGAAGACACTGACATCCAAAGCCATTTGCAGTCAGGAACCAGGTCTCTCCCACACTTTGCCTTTCCTCACTCTTCGCTTGGGGCCTGCAGGTGCAGTGGAATGAGCCCGGCGCACACTATGCCTTGGTGGAAAAGGAGAAGCTTCCAAGGTTCCCCTTTTCAATTGACCAGAAGGGAGATATTTATGTGACTCAGCCCTTGGACCGAGAACAAAAGGATTCGGTAAGAAAAACAGGAAGCATTTCACAGGAGTAAGACAAAAGTCTTACCTACTTAGAGCTGACAGCAAATTCCATTTTACTTTAAAAAAAAAAAAATCTGTGTTCTGGATCCCACCATATTATTGGATCTCAAAGACATGATAATTTGATCATACAGTCACCAGGTTGAACTTCGTTTCCCATTTCCCAGTTCTAAGTAAACTGAAAATAAAGTGGGGCAGAGAATGATCTAGAAACAGGTACTTTCTCTGCCCTGTAAGGGGGACAATGAAGGAGACTTGTCTCAACTCTGACCTTCCTGTTGCAGTATGTTTTTTATGCAGTTGCAAAGGATGAGTATGGAAACCCACTTTCGTACCCCCTGCAAATCCATGTGAAAGTCCAAGATGTTAATGACAACCCACCGTCGTGTCCCTCTGCAGTGACTGTATTTGAGGTCCAGGAGAACGAAGTACTGGGTAAGAAAGGAGGGCTGTGAGTGCTATGTGGCTGTCATCCCTGTTCTAACTCTGTGGCTCCTGTCTCCTGTCCGTTGGCTGACCAATGGCAGTCAGTCGTCCAGCACAGTGATCGAATGTTCCGTGAAATCATGCAGGTAGAGCATCTTTGGTTCTGGCAGCATCTGGGCAGTGTTCTTGAATTGGAGCATTTATAACTACTACCACCACTAGTTGTCATGACTTCTGCTATTAACACCAGTATACCCTTTTTCATTATTGCTAGTACCATAATCATCCCACTATTATCCTGTATGCAACAGAGAGGCATTTCACTGGCAAAGCTTCCCTGTAAGTCATCTTATTTGACCTCTACTTAAACTAACTTCAAAGAGATAAGATGTGCTAAGTAAACACTAATTTCCATAAACAATAGTGATAGGGTTGCATTTGACCTTTGAGCCTGCCTAGTCACTAAGTCACTAGGAAGCAGATAACAATGCAAGAGGCTGGTGGATAAAGTCCCATCTATTTTTGTCTTTTTTTTCCTACTTAATATATATATGTATATCTTATTATAACTTCAAGTTTTGTCTCGGAACTTGCACAGCTACTATATAGCTTTTGTATATATCTGTATAGCTACTATAAGGACATTCTGATTCCTGGGAATCTTATGGCTTTCCTGGATTTGGAGCAACTCCTGCTTATTTCCCCTTTGAACTTGAGCCCTTTGATTAAGCTGGCTGGATTTCTTGAAAAGTTTTGGTTTATTGTGCCATATAAGTTTCTGAGGTCTATGAGCATAGCAGCCTCTTGTGCCTGGTGTCTCTAGGGGCCTTGCTCTCCTGGGGTGAGATCCTTTTATTTCTTGTGCACATTCTCATCATTTTCTGTTGACCTCTTTACTCTTCTTGCTACACACCTTTGACAAGGTAGCTCCTTTCCTGGTAGCTTGGTGCATGTGCCAGGAGTGTTCCCCCCTCCCCAGGAACATTCTTTTTCTTTGTGTTGTCAGGCTACTTTTT